TAGAAAAATGATTTATCCGTCTTCCTTTAAATTAAGTTCTGTTCCGTTTTCAGTCCTATTTCAGATACTAATTTAATCGATTGCGCATCTTCTTAATTACTGCTGAACGATGTTGAAAAAATTATCTCTACCACGAAATGAATACAATCCAAGTTTTACTAATGAATCAAAATGATTTTAAAAATGTATCGGAATTTATAAAAACAAATACTAAAATATTAGCAAAATAGAACTTATCTCAATTTTGTGTGTCATTTACTAATGAATTCATTTCCATTCAAAAAATCATTCTATGAGATGGAAGAATAGATTGCAGTCAATATGGTACAAAAATTTCAAATTAACGAAGAGCTTAAAGTTTTGAAAACAGTTCGAAAATTAGATTAATGATATAATAAAATTTCAACCGTATATGCAACTAAATCACCAAACACACTACACAAATTTGTGTAAAATTAATATGTATGCTGGCCAATAATGTTCAGTGTAACTTAAGGTGGTACCTTAATTTTTTCCTCAACTTTTGGGCTTTACAAAGATGTAAAACGATTTTTTTTTTTTTTAAGTTTTATCTACCTTTTATATTTATTTTAGATACTTAGTATAACACCTAAATTTTGGAAATCAGAACTGGCACTTATACTATTGTAAGGAAAAGAAGTCTTGGTACTTGAGAGGTTTTGCGCTCGGAAAATTTAAAAACAGTGCAAAAGTTTTTTTTTTATTTGTCAGTTTTAATTTAATCTTCAACTGAATCGACTAAATAAATGTATCAGCATGTAGGGTAAATCGTGTTACAGTGTAATATTTTTTTGCTCAAGTACGTCACAGTTTTTAAAAGCGAATAAAACGTACTTTCTCATTCCAGGAGTGCACACCAGGGAAGATTCTTAAGGACAGCAGATTTCGTATGTACGTGTCCTGATGATCAAAGTCAAGTCGTGGGTTCGAATCCTGCTCGTGGCACTAGCTTTTTTCACTCAACCAAGGCCTACAAAACGTATAATTAATTAAAATTACATATATTAAAAACATACTCTTTCGTGAACATAGCAAACAGTGAAGGGGGCATCGGGTTTATATGGCCTCTGATGTTGCGAACCCTCGTTTAAAAATAAAAGTGAAGAAATTGGTAAAGCCATTATTCCAGGAGACGCTTAGAATATTGGAATTCGAAACTATGAATCAATTTTGTTGTTTGAGCACTGTCGATAGGTAGGTAGCCCTCGGAGGATAAGGGTCATCGCCGGCCATTAAAAATAGACCTTGCGAGGTTGACACACGGACGCTTACATTTGGGTCAAAGCGTGTACGGCGTGCATTTGTTCAATGTGACCCTCCTAATTCAAGGGTGCAATTGATTGGTGTGTGTTGAGAGTGAATGTATTTATTATCGTGAATGTGTATAGTTAGAGGGTTGATGGCGGAATGTTGAGTACCCTACGGCCCTCAATTAGATTATTTACATAATATGATAGAGGGTGATGGAGGATACAACCCTAAGTGAATGGTATATAAATAAGAAATAATATAATTCAGAGTGAGAAGAGTGTGAATGGATTTAGGAACTAATTGCCTCGGGGGCTGACATGAATTAGCTGTTGGTAACCCCTGGTAAGGCCGAGGTCTGCCCCCAGAGTGCCAACACCCGGGGTGGATGTTCTCGAGGCCCAAAAATTCCACCGTACTTGTAATATAACTTGATTTGTATATATTTTTATGTATTAATCAAACGTTCACGCTTTTTAATAAAATTGAGTCTTTGCCTCAAAAAGTTTTAAAAAATGTAAATTGCTAAGGAAAATGAGAAAAAAGACAGTCAGATAAAATTTGTTTTGATTTTGTCTTAGATTTTTAATTAACATTTCAATACCGCGTATTTCCTTCTCTTGCCTTAATTACATCTCGAAGGCGGCTCGGCATACTTTCTACCAGTCTGGAAATGTCTCTTTGCTGGAGGTTAGCCCATTCTTGACGAAGAGTCCTTCAAGATCGTGGAGTTATCAGGAAGTGACGGACGTGCTCTTATTCGTCTTTTGAGGTTACCCCATAAATGTTCGAGGTTCAAGTCTACAGAACGGGCTGTTCAGGCTAAGACCGTGATGTTATACCGTTGAAGGTTCGTTTGAGTTATGCGAGCGACATGTGGACGGACATTACGTGCATTGGAATAGGATTGTCGTTAATTTCATCGAGGATAGGCAGCGCATGATGTACCAAAATCCACATAGCGAGTGGCCGTCAAAGACCCACCACGAACAACAACCAACTCTGTGTGACTCTAGTGAAATTTCTGACCACACCACCACTGGCTACGTTGAAAAGGTTGGCTTTATTTCTTTAGGAACTTACAGGCTTCGAACCTTTCATTTATCTACGTCGGAGATCGTAGAACAAATCTACACTCATCTGTAAAACGTACAACAGATCAATCGTCTAAAAACCAATGGCTGTTCTCGAAGAAATGGGAGCCGTGCAACTATGTGTGTTCTGGTCAATTTTCGTCTACTTGCGGGGTGAAAAGCCATCAGTCAATACTGATTTAATCTTCTTCGAGCAGTGCGCTCAGACACCTCGAACATCCTGGAGCTGGCGAATCGCTTGAACAACAGCAAGGTGCCGGTTTCGCAAAATTCTCAAAGTCAAAAAACGGTCATCCTGTGGTTGTTACCCTTGGGCCCCTAGAACCGGGCCTTCTATGGTAGGACCCAGTTTCTCGAAAAGGTCTAACTGCGTCTCGCAGTGTTTCGTAGGGAACTCGAATGGCAATAGCCGCATAACTGATGAAACGTCCATCATCAATGTGTCAGTGCCACACCACGCGCAACATCCTCAGCACTAAGTGGCATTTTTAAGTTTAAAAATTGAAATTAAGAAAACAAAGATGAAAACCAACCAGTTTATTGCTTTAGAATTCAAATGAGACAGAATAAACATTTTAAACTCCGTAAAAATTAAACATTAAAAAATTGTTCTTCTTGTTTTGGACTAAAAATTATATGGGTTTACATCTAATTGATATTCCCAATTTAAAACCTAGCATAAACAGATATCTATTGGTAAAAATAATGAGACAAATTAAGAGCAGAATTTTCTATTATCGAGAAAATGAAAAAAATCAATTGGGTGAAATTTTCTGCCTGTCAGTGTACATAGAGCACCGAAAAAAGGGAGTAATCAAAATCGTCTTAGACCTGGCAAACGATTACGATTTACAACAAAACTATAAAATTTTGGAATTAGAGATGACAACGTGAAATGATTCCAGCCATATATAAATGGCAGAAAGAAATTTTTAAATCTGTAGAATAAAAATCGTGATATAAAGACAATTAAAGATTTTGGAATTATCAAGGAGCTTCATTTATTTTGTTTTTTGTTATATTTAAATGATATGTTGATATCTCCTCAAAAAGTAACTTATCTCTATCTCACATAATATAGCTATTACCTTTGTAGAAAATTCTTCGAATACATAAATATCGAAACTGACTTGACTAGGACTGGTAAATTTAATCCTTCTAATTTTATTTTTCCAGTCAAGTTATGATGTTGTATGATATAATGGTATTCGAATCTCTCTTTTCTTATAATATGTTATGTTAGCCTTCGTCATTGATGGATAAAATAATTCAAATAACAAACACATAATCAAAAACAAGATAAAAGATAAAAATCTGGTTAAGATCTCCTTACCCCAGACACCCGATATTCCTAGGGGTAATTGATGATACTCCTCCATTCACGCTTACGAATTACATGTACATACCACAATCCTTTCACGCTACTCTAGAGTTCTAGATATTCGGGGATAGGCAACTCAATTCACGCTAATAAATACATCAGTTCCAATAAATAACACATACAACATACATAGAGGAACAATGAATACAGCAAAAAAAATTATATGTGGTGTAAATATGGTTCTGAAATATTTAATCAGTGATCTGGGCCTGCTGCCAATCGGGATGTCGAATTTATTTTATTTTTTAGCCTTAGTTCTTTCATCTGTCATTATGTGTTGTACTGTCTCACAAAACACATGCGTGATCTCACCCTATACGAAGAAGTCCGTGTGGTCTTGGTATGACCTATGCACAATTTCTTAAGCATAAACTTTTCCCGCCTAAGCCTAGCCTCCTCAGGCCATGAACCGATGCCTTTCTTAATTCTATATAATTTTTTTTACGCGGATTTTTCATTAGTCTTTTACTGAGTTAGCAAGGATTAAGTGTGTTTACCTCTAATTGATATTCGCAATTTAAACATAGCATGAACAAATATTTATTCGTAAAAACAATGTGGACAAATTAATGGCAGAATTTTCTTATATCGAGAAAATAATATTTAAAAAAATCAATTGGGTAGAATTTTTGGCCTGTCAGTGTATATTCAGTTTTTTTTTTTTAATTTAATATTCTTATTAGAAAATTTTTTGTACAAAGTATATGATCGCACGGTGAAGTCTTCAATCTAGACGTTAAATCTGAAACATGATTTTTTTGTTACTGATTTACGAAAGATATCTAAGTTGTATTGTAAGGCAGACAAAATTTTCCAACATAATAGAATCACTTAAGAAATAATGAACGAAAATAAAGGCATGCGCGTTCCGCTTTTCAATAATTTCCCGGCAACTTGACGCTAATCAATAAGCAAGACATTTTTACTAAAGCTCATCAGCATCGGCGACGTTCCGAGACGTGTTGAGTTTTCGGCGGTTAAACCAGACTCGGACAAAGACGAGAATTTCGAAGCGCCAAAGTTGGAATGTTTTTGTCGTATTTGTTAAATGTTATTTGTATTTAAGTACGTTTGGCGGGGTCGAAAGTGCCGTTTTCGAGGGAGTAATTCAAAAGAGCCGGCTTTTTATGATCGAGCGCTAGTAGAGCATGACCACGACCTCTTGAATAGTCTAGAGCTTCGTTCCTTCGTTTCTAAACTGTTTTAAAACATCAAAAAAGATCCGGGCCGAGTTTAATCGTCTTTAAGAGACATTCTTTATTAATTTTTGACGTTCGATTTTGTAAATTTGACGGATTCGTTTGTAAAGGTGTTGACTTTAACGGGAACCCGGGCACCGGGAAACGGTGCCTCACGCGCATGCCTATGTAGTCGCTAGCATACCCGAGTCCGGACGGTTTGTGTTTTATGGTTTTAGTTTCGTTTATGCTGGGAAACTGCGGAAAATCGTGAAAACTGTCGAAAGGGGAGATTCGTTCGAAGAGGATTTCCAATCGAGAGTCGGGACATGGCGTCGGAAGAAGAAGTCGAGGATTGTATGCCCGGTAAGTGTCGAGAGCGGCCCGGGGGGGTTATGTTTGCCGCATACAACAAAATAACTTTCCCCCTTTTACCATATCATTAGAATATTATGAGAATAAGTGCTGTCCCGGGTCGGGGTTTTCGTCCCTTTCGGGGGTCCGACGATCCCAGATCCGTGTCGGCCTTCCTATGGCCTTTTTTCCGGTTAAAAAGCGGCCGAGACGATTTTTCCAGGAGGTGTGAAATTAAGGAGGCTCATTATTTTCCTTGTCAAGTAAAGCGGCATCGGCCCCTGGCCCCCCCTAAACAAAATGGAGGCCGTCAAACAAAGAAATTGGCATGTCGATCGCGGTTCGCCTCCTGGCTACTCGGCCTCGCGGCACATCCGCCGGCATTTTCGTCTGACGGAAAATTCGGTGGAAAACGGATTTTCGCCACTTCGCCACCTCCTGCAACCTTCCGCCTACAATTTTCCGGCGTTTTCACCACGTTTTCCATTTAAGCCCATTTTCCTGTTCTCCTTTTTTTTCCTTCATTTTATTGACTTTAATAATTTTGCTCTATAAAGTACAGCATATTTTTCCCCCTGCCTTTATATTTTAAATGTCACATTCAAAGCTTTCAATTTTTAAAAGTTTAATTTTAAATGGATCTAATATACGGAATAGCATGCCATCCCTTGACAATTATTAATTTACTTTATCATATTATCGCCTACATATTTAGTATGTAAAGTACTTTATTTCAAACGGATTTCAAATAAAATATAAAAACCTATTCACAAAAGCATATTTTTAAATGTAACAGCGTAAAGACTGGTACAAAAATTGGAAGACAAGCCTGAATTAGGAAAAAATAAAACCCTCCACTGTATATCAACAACTATTAGCTGTTGACTTGCACTCAAGTCAGATACTTCGGATTATACACGTACATAGTGCACAAAATTTAAGAGAACAATTTAACCAAACACTTGGACAACTATGAAGACTTTTAAATCAGCCTTAGAAATATAATTAATCTAATTGAGATGGGGTACTCGATTTATTCCAACTTCTCACACTACATATTCACATAAAAAGGAATACATAAAAAGGAAGACAGAATCTATCAGTACTTGATACGGTAAAATGATAGACCGATGTGGAATCCCCACAAGTCTTAAAAAACAACAACTACCAAGGCATTTACAGCTAAAATCTGTTCAACTAACTCTACACGAGACATTATTGAGACCCTCTATGGTGTGGAATCGATTGGGGGTCTTGCCAAACCATCCACTCCATCTAACCAAAAATCCTGAGACAAATTGTCTAAAGATCCTTACTACTTAACTAGCTTCACTCACCAATAAAACATCAGACTGTTGAATCCCCACATGACTTAAGGGGCATCAACTTAACATATAACTTAAGGAACTACGAAGATTTTTAGATTGTCCTTTACAGATATAATCAATTTAATTTATGGCAGTGGGGTATCAATATTCGACCATGGGCCCCCTCATCCGCCTATATGCAATAAAACAGTAGATTGAAGCAGAATCCCCACAAGATTTAAGAGACAACTTAACTGAAGACTTTGACAACTACAGACTACAACTTAGACTTCTGTTTTAACCGTCAAAATTATAAAAGACATTACTGATTCTTTGGACATAGAGAAATTGTGTGGTTCTGCCTAGCCAGCCAATACCCAGCAAATCCAATCCTGCCAATCAGTGCTCAGACAAATTGTCAAAGCTCCTTACTATGTCACTATCCTCACTGTCCACAATGACCTCAATATTCATATAATTGATCCATTTTCAACCCCAAAAGTTTCACATCGACCTAAGAATCTGCCACCCTAAATCGACACCCCTTGTGTCTTAATCTCACTGAGCGCCAGTATTGGGGCTGGTTTCTCACTTGGCAGTACTTGATGTAATAAAACAGCAGATTGTTGTGGAATCCCCACAAGTTTTAAAAGACAACAACTTTTACGGCCGAAATCTGTTCTACTAACTTTATACAAGACATTACTGAGACCACTTTGGACATACGAAGTGGAAATGTGGGGTGCTGCCAATCAATCCAGGCCAAATCGAGCCCATCCAATCCATCTAACCAAAAGTCATGAGAGAAATTGTCAACGCTCCTTACTACCTCGCTAACTTCACTCACCAATAAAGCAGCAGACTGATATGGAATCCATGTAAGGTTTCAGAGGCAATCATTTTTAAGACTTGGACAAGTACAAAGTCTTTTAAGAATGGAATCTGTTTTGACCTTCAAAAATATAACTCGGTACTGGACAGTGTGACTAGAACATGGAGTGGAACTGTGGGTTTCATCAAGTCCAGCCCATTCGACCTTTCCAATCAAAAGTGCAACAAAACTTTTTTTTTATCATTGACTTTTACAATTTTATTGTTTAAAGCACAGAATATTTTCTCCTATGGTTCAAATATACAGAATAACATGCCATCCCTTGACAATTATTAATTCACTTAGCTCATATTATCGTCTGTATTTTTATTATATAAATTTTTTTTTCCAAAATATAAAAACCTCCTATTAAAAAAAAATACACTTTTAAATAATTAATTTGTATTATCAAAGAACGATGCTAAAAGAAAGGACAAGACTGAATAAAGAAAATGTATACAGTGTACATTAACATTTAAAAAACAGTATTTTATAATTTTGTTCTTTAAAGCAAAGAATTTTTTTCCAATGATTTTTTCCTGTCTTTATATTTCATATACTTTCATCTTCACAAAAACAATCAATCTATTTTAATACACAATATTTATGTTGAATAAGAAGTAGAATCAGTCAGTAATGTTTATATCGACATTTTAAATAGTCAATTTGTAAACAAATCAATGGATTTTTGTTAGTCTATTAGTTACCATCCTTGTGGACTAAATTTCACAGAGGAACGAATCCTGTTTTGCAATGTTATAAATATTTGGTGTTTATTATTTTTCATATTGACCATTTACTATCCAATTAATAAATTATTTGACTATTGTTTTCGAACCAGTTTTAATTGTAACCCTGTGCCTACCTGAATGATTAAGTTCTGCATCTTTGTTTACAGGAGTTTGTTATAATTTAATTTCACAGGGCTTACATCAATTCTTAAGTATTTATTTAGTGGAATTGATTTAAATTTGAGTGCTTTTACTAATTGGTTTTATTTTGTAAAACTTTTAAATCACTACCTTTAAATAATTAAGCATATTGAACCAGTTGGGTTTATTTCCGTTAAATTAAATTTGCTATTATAGCTTAATTTTTATGATCAATTTTTGACTTTTGCTTGTAAAAATACATTCTTAAAAATTGTATTTAGTTTCACTTTTTATTATTACAACTTTTATCGCAGCCGATGATGATAAAGTTTAGATGAAAATACGGGAGATTAAAATTAAATTGCAACGACTCACTCCGGATCGGCCGACTCTTTGTAATCTTGACAGACATTCAAAAGTTTCGGTGCCTGTTGTAAAAACAAAGAGACATTAAACATTGAATGCCCAATGGGATCTCCTTCAGTCATGGGTGCCTCGCGGCATTCAATTACACTTTTTCTCCAATCGGCGTTTGATCCAGAGAGCAATTTAATTTTCCTTCCAATTTTGTGATTTCCATCTTTAGTAATCTGAGGTGCATTTTTTGATAAAAGTTTACAAATTTAATTTTCCCCGTAAAAATAAATGGATAAAATATAAACTATTATTCTTTAGGGAGGAAAAAATATCCAGTTGTCATACTTCTAACTGTGTGGGGGAGAAGGAAGATTAGGGATCCTCGGTAACCCTCTGAAATTATATTCAAGGGATGAAAAGAGGGAGTTTATTACAAAAGGGGTTGGTTTAAGGAGGGGAGCCACCCATTCTATTCTCGACAAACCACATCTTTTAAAATTAGAAAACTCCAATAATTTATTTTATCCTATTCTCTGATTACAATTTTTTTTTTTTTTTTTTTTTTTTTGTACTTATTTAGCTTTATTTTTTTCTTCTTTTTTTTTATAGAAGAGGAAGTCGAAGGAGGAGTAGAATTGGAGGAAACTGGTGCCAACTCCCCTGAAAGTGATGCAAGAAGTAGGAATGAGGTAATTAATTGAACTGGTAATTTTAATTATTTTAATTTTTAAAATCTGAGGAATTTTCTTTTAACTTAGACCTCATTATCTTAACATTCATTGACAATAATGTAGCCTGTGAATGTATTTGATAAATTGCAATAATAACAAAATAGAGCACAACATAGTTTTTGTGTTAATTTAATTTTATTTTTTACAAAGGACCCTGATGATGACTACTACCCAGAAGATGGTAAGAAGAAGAAAGGCAAGAAAAGAAAAGCGAAAGGAGAGAGTAAGAAAGAGAAGAAAAAAAAGAAACGGAAGAAGAATGACAGCGCTGATGTAAGTGTAAACTAAAAAAAAAAAAATTATATTATGACCTATTTTTGTGTTATTATTTTCAGGAGAGTGAAGGACCAATTGACGAAGAGGGAAATGACTCTGATTATGGGAAAAAATCAAGGAAATCTAGGGGGAGTACAACTCCTATGCCAAAGCCTGCTACCCCAGTGCAACAGGACACATCTGGGGGTGAATACAATTTTTTATTTTATTGTAAGAATTTTTGTGAATATATCAATTCTTATGGTTTCGTCTTTTAGCAGGTGTACCTTCAGTGCAGGAAGTCTGCAACCTTTTTGGTCTGACGGACGTTGACATCGAATACACCGAAGAGGATTATTTAAATTTGACAACGTACAAGCTCTTTCAGCAGCACGTGCGGCCTCTTTTGGCCAAGGACAATCCAAAAGTCCCGATAGGGAAAATGATGATGCTGGTTGCCGCAAAATGGAGAGATTTCTGTAATTCGAATCCAAACACTGAGCCGCCCGAGCAAGAACAGGAGATGGAGGCTGAAAGCGAATATACAAAGCCGAGCAGGAGTGCTCGAGCAGCCAAGGTAGACATTTTAATTATGATGAAATTTTATGTAATGCATAACTAACACTACTATCTCTTAGGTCTGTCAGAATGACGAAATGGAGGAAGATGATGATGTCGAAGAGAAAGGCAAGAAAAAAAGGAGTGGGAGAAAGAAATCATCTGGAAAAAAATCAGCTCCTCCTGCAAACACAAAAGTACCTACTCTTAAAATTAAGATAGGAAAAAGAAAACAAAATTCTGTAAGTTTATTATTTTAATTTTAAAAACTTTTATAGCACATTTAACTTAATTTTTTTCAAAAGGATGAAGAAGATGAAGGTTCTGCACCTGCTTCTGAGCGAGACTCAGATGCAGAATTTGAACAAATGCTCGCAGAAGCCGAGGAAGTAAATAAAACCGAATCCGCTGAAGGCGAACCCCAAGAGGAAGAGCCAGTAGTGCCTAAGAAAAAAGCAAAGACAAAAATTGGCAATAAAACTAAGAAAAAGAAAAAGACGAGGACTACTAGTAAATTTCCAGATAGTGAAGGCGGATATGAGGTAATCCAAATAATTATATTTTATATAAAAAATTAATTTCTCATATATATACCTAATTAATTATGTTTATAGACGGATCATCAAGATTATTGTGAAGTTTGCCAGCAAGGAGGAGAAATTATTCTTTGTGACACGTGTCCAAGGGCTTATCATTTGGTTTGTCTCGATCCTGAGCTTGAAGACACACCTGAAGGTAAATGGTCGTGCCCACATTGCGAAGGAGAGGGTATTCAGGAAAAAGAAGACGACGTCCATCAAGAATTTTGCAGGTTTGAACTATGGAATTTTTTATTTTTATTTATTTTTGTTATTTATTTTTTTTCCAAATATGGCTTAAAACGTTTTATATTTTTAGGGTTTGTAAGGATGGTGGAGAGCTTCTTTGCTGTGATTCATGCCCCTCAGCATACCACACATTCTGTTTAAACCCTCCATTAACTGATATACCTGATGGGGATTGGAAATGTCCTCGGTGTTCGGTAAATATATTTATTTTTTTTATTATATTTTTTTATTGTTTGTTTGATTTTTACATTATTTTAATTCTTAGGCGAAACCACTCAGAGGAAAGGTTTCAAAAATATTAACATGGCGATGGGTCGAGTCTAAGACGAAGGAGGAAGACCTTCCTGAAAGCGCGAGAAAAAGGCCAAGGCCCAGAATGAGGGAGTATTTTGTCAAATGGGCCGATATGTCATACTGGCATTGCAGTTGGGTCTCTGAGCTTCAAATGGATGTTTTCCATACGCAAATGATTCGAAGTTACATCCGTAAATACGACATGGACGACCCACCTAAGCTTGAAGAACCGCTCGACGAGGCGGACAATCGGATGAAGAGGATCAGAGAGGCAAACATCAACGAACAAGAATTAGAAGAAAAATATTACAAGTCGGTTGCCCCGCTCTAATTATATTTTAGTCGTTAATAATGAAAAACATTAACGTGTTTGTTTTTAGGTATGGCATCAAACCAGAATGGCTAATCATCCAAAGGATAATCAACAACAGAGTGACTCGTGACGGAACGAATTTATACCTCGTCAAATGGAGAGATCTTTCATACGATCAAGCTACATGGGAAGATGAAAATGAAGACATTCCCGGTTTGAAAAGAGCTGTGGATTACTACCAGGTAAATTGTGTGACATACAACTTTTGTTACAATTCCCCGATCAATTTTAGAATGTACAAGTCCTTTGCATTGCGCAAATTGTTACTGGGGATAAATTAAACCAGGCGAGTTTTAGAATGATTCCTTTTTATTAGGTTTCATTAAAGGCCTCTCCTTACAATAAATAGAATAGAATACAATAAAATAAACTAGCTTTTTTTTTTCTAATTAAAATTTCTAAATTGATTTGTGTTTTAGGAAATGAAATCATTTTGTTTTAATGATGTAAAAAAGTCCAAGAAAGGCAAAGGTAAAAAGTCTAAATCAAAAGATCAAGATGACGACGACCGTGCAAATGGGTATGTAGAATAAATTTCATTTTCAAAAAAATCACTTGTCACTGTGGGTTTTTAAAATGATTACTTTGTTTTAGAAGACTTTTCATCCCACCTCCTGAAAAGCCTTCGACTGACTTGAAGAAGAAATTTGACAAACAGCCCGATTACCTTGACGCGAGCGGTCTCTGCCTTCATCCTTACCAGCTCGAGGGCTTAAACTGGCTTCGGTATTCTTGGGGCCAAGGGACTGACACAATTCTGGCCGATGAAATGGGTCTCGGAAAAACAATCCAGACTATTGCATTTCTGTATTCTCTTTACAAAGAGGGACACTGTAAAGGCCCATTCTTGGTAAATATTTTCTTTTGCCAAAACTAAATTTTTTTAAAAACATTTTGAGCCTTTTTTTTTTTATTTGTTTATTTATTTTTTATTATTTNTTTTTTTTTGTACAGGTCAGTGTACCGCTGTCAACGATAATCAACTGGGAGAGGGAATTTGAGACATGGGCTCCTGATTTCTACGTTGTAACTTATGTCGGCGACAAAGATTCTCGTGCAGTGATCAGAGAGCATGAGTTTTCCTTTGAAGAAGGTGCCATCATGAGAGGGAAAGCCTCAAAGCTTAGGTCCAACAACATAAAATTCCATGTGCTTTTAACATCTTACGAATTGATTTCAATTGACGTGGCTTGCTTAGGGTCGATAGATTGGGCCGTGCTTGTTGTAGATGAAGCACATAGATTAAAAAGCAACCAAAGCAAAGTAAGATGAAGATAATGAAGAAAGTACATTTATGAATTATTAATGTTCTTTTTGTTTCTAGTTTTTCAGGCTGTTGGCTTCTTATACAATCTCTTATAAACTACTTTTGACTGGAACGCCTTTGCAGAATAATCTTGAGGAACTTTTCCATTTATTAAATTTCTTGACACCAGAAAAGTTCAATGATCTTGCTACATTCCAAAACGAATTTGCTGATATTTCAAAAGAGGAGCAAGTAAAGCGTCTCCATGAACTTTTAGGGTCGCATATGTTGCGTCGTCTTAAAGCCGATGTGCTCAAGAACATGCCGACAAAGTCCGAGTTTATTGTCAGAGTGGAACTGTCTCCAATGCAGAAAAAGTATTACAAGTATATTTTGACGAGGAATTACGAAGCGCTGAATCCCAAAGGTGGTGGCCAGTCTGTTTCACTTTTAAACATCATGATGGACTTGAAAAAATGTTGCAACCACCCTTACCTCTTCCCCGCTGCTGCTCAAGAGGCCCCATTAGGGCCAAATGGCTCCTACGACCTCCAGGGCATTATTAAAGCTTCGGGAAAATTAATCCTTCTTTCAAAAATGCTTAAGAAACTGAAAGAGGCAGGCCATCGTGTACTTATTTTCTCTCAGATGACAAAAATGCTCGATATACTTGAGGACTACCTGGACGGGGAGGGTTATAAATATGAAAGAATTGATGGTGCGATAACGGGAAATCTTCGGCAAGAAGCAATCGATAGGTTTAACGCTCCTGGTGCGCCTCAATTTGTTTTTCTTCTATCAACAAGGTAATTTTTTTTTTTTTTTAAACAAATTTTGGTTTTTTATTTAACATCATTTTATTTAGGGCTGGTGGTTTGGGTATCAACTTGGCCACAGCCGATACTGTCATCATTTATGATTCTGACTGGAATCCACACAACGATATCCAAGCTTTCTCAAGAGCTCACAGGATCGGTCAGGCTAATAAGGTAACCTCAATAAATTATTTATTTAGAGTAAAAACGGTGCTAAATTTCTTGATTTTTAGGTTATGATTTATCGGTTTGTAACGCGTAATTCAGTCGAAGAAAGGGTCACTCAAGTCGCTAAGAGGAAAATGATGTTGACCCATTTAGTAGTGAGACCTGGAATGGGTGGAAAACAAACTAATTTCACAAAGCAAGAACTTGATGATATTTTAAGGTTCGGTACAGAGGAGTTATTCAAGGAAGAAGAGGTAATACAATTTATCTCCCTTAAAAAAATAAAAAATAAAAAAAATCACATTCTTTATCATTTAGGGTAAAGAAGATGAAGCTATACATTATGACGATAAAGCTGTGGAAGATTTGCTAGATAGGTCAAAAATGGGAATCGAACAAAAAGAAAACTGGTCTAACGAATACTTATCATCGTTTAAAGTTGCTTCGTATGTAACAAAAGAAGAAGATGAGGTATGTTTTAACATCCTTCCTAATCTGTGTTCTTGTGCTTAAAAAAAATTCAAATTAATAGGACGAGGAAGAAGGAACAGAAGTGATCAAACAGGAGGCTGAGAATACAGACCCAGCATATTGGGTCAAGCTTCTCAGGCATCATTACGAGCAGCAACAAGAAGATCTTTCGAGGACTCTAGGGAAAGGAAAGAGAGTACGAAAACAGGTAAATTGCGACTCGATCAAAAGCCCCTATTATTTTTGAATTAATCATCGCTCCGTAAGTTCAAATGACACTTAAAACGCACTTTATATATATTGAAGGTGAATTATAATGACGGAGGGATTGTGGACTCGAGGGAGAATGCGGACTCCAGCTGGCAAGAGAATCTGTCTGATTACAATTCAGATTTCTCAGCACCTTCGGGTAAAATAACATTTCCTAAATTTATTTTCAATAGACGAACCTGTATTTCACTTTTCCTTTTTCTTTTTTTTTATCAAAAAGATGATGATAAAGAAGACGATGATTTTGATGAAAAGACTGAAGATGGCATCAAGAAAAAGAGGAGGCCAGAAAGGAGAGAGGAGAAAGACAGGCCGCTACCACCACTGCTTGCTCGCGTTGGCGGGAATATCGAGGTAAATTTTTTTGATATATCTAAACAAAAAAATTATGAAACTATTTTTTATTTATTTTTTACTTATAGGTTCTTGGCTTCAATGCAAGGCAACGTAAAGCATTCCTTAATGCTATTATGAGGTACGGTATGCCACCTCAGGATGCTTTCAACTCACAGTGGTAAGTTAACTACGGAATCTATGCATGAAGGAATGATACATTTTATAAAGTTTTACACACAAAAATAGCTATTTTAACACATTAAAACATCTAGAAATGCATAGCATAATATGTGAAACTTCCCTATAATGGACACTCTTGAGAAATTATTTTTTCCCCCTGCCACACCATGTTTTGTTGTAAAGGAAATGTTAAATGAAACTGACCTTTGTCTTGATTTATGAAATCACCATCCGAACTACAAAAACAATGAATTGAAACTAGTTGGTAAAAAAAAATATAAAGTCCCATTTAAAATTCCCTTTATAATAAACCATGAAAAGACAAATAAAAAAAAACACTATTTGACTACATTTGACATCGTCAAATACTTAAAAGAAGAAAAATCAAATATCAGATAAGAGAAAAAATTTAGCATATGGGGTATGTACATAAGATTTTTCAATTTTCATAAAAAAAAGTCTATACTTTCAAAATATAAATATATTTTGTTTTTAATGTAAAATAGTCGTTTGTTTTCTATAACATACTTTCAGCGTACTGGGTGCAGAAATATCCTCTTTTTGTAAAGGTCTGATTTTTTTTTTCTTTCTAAAAAAAAAATGACAAACTGAGAAGAAATCCGTAAGTCTGATTTTCAGATCGTTTTCGTTTAAAAATTCCCTATTAAGTGGTTGTGTCTGAACAAACAAGTAAAAATCTGAAGGGGCAAGGTCTGGAGAGTATGGAGGGTGAGGCAACTGTTGCTTGCCTAACACGATTTTACTTTGAGTGAGACACGTGGCATTGTCATGGTGAAACAACGTTGCATCTATTCCAGCGCTGGATGTTTTACATACAACAATGCTCCAAGATGGTCTATCTTGGCATAGTGTATCTATGCAATCCTACTCATGACATCGACATCTCTTCTTGCACAAACGGTCCTATGCCATTTAACATTTTCAGAAGGACCCTGAGTGACTAAATAAGTAATAAGCCATTCCGATTTATTGCTATTCAAGTTTATTGTTCCGATTCATATGCAAAAAGCCATGGGTCTTCCTTGTTCCTGACCGGCATTTCATGAATTCGAGTAAATCTGATTCTTATTTCTAATGTGCGATGTACCTGAAATCTGTCTGAAAGCTCTGTTACCATTAATTTGTCCTTGTTCTCCAATGTCACTAATAAGTGATCCCATTTAAGCCCCTTAGGTGGTCCTCAAAGAAGCTGGTCTTTGATTTGTTTCTATCCATTACAAAAAACAGCAGAACCACTGTTGACTTGTACATTCAGTTCTAGTTCTTGTTAGTTATCAATGTAAATTTTACATAAATTTAGACAGGCATCCACCACTAGAAAGCAATTATGCTGGTCAAGGCTTTTGTGGCAAAAGTAGGTTAAATCATTGCATATACATATTTTTGTTACTACAAACCACACTTTTTTCTTTTTACCCCCGTACCAAATTTTTTCCCTTTTACGCTTCCATAGTTTGGAATGTGTATTTTATTTTGTGGGGATTTTAGCATTGTTGCTGCAAGTGGAAAAGTGTTTTTATGATTTTGATTTGAAAATTGAGTTTATTATGTGAAAAAGGTGTAATCCTAGATTTTTTACTATTGAAGTGTTTTGACCTTTTCCTGGGTCGGTTGTATTTTTTTTCTCACCAGTGGATTCAAATTATACAAAATAAACTACATTTATTAAGTGAAAGAGGTATAATCCTAGGGTTTTTTTTACCATTGGAGTGTTTTGACCTTTGTTTTTTTCTCTCTCCAAATTATACAAAAAAAAACTACATTTATTAAGTGAAAGAGAGAGGTTAATCCTAGGGTTTTTTTTACCATTGGAGTATTTTGACCTTTGTTTTTTTCCCTCTCTAAATTATAAAAACAAACTGTACATTTATTAAGTGAAAGAGGTATAATCCTAGGGTTTTTTTTTACCATTGGAGTGTTTTAACCTTTGTTTTTTCCCTTTCCAAATTATATAAAAAAAAAAAACTACATTTATTAAGTGAAAGAGGTATAATCCTAGGGTTTTTTTTACCATTGGAGTATTTTGACCTTTGTTTTTTCCCTCTCCAAATTATAAAAACAAACTGTACATTTATTAAGTGAAAGAGGTATAATTCTAGGGGTTTTTTACCATTGGAGTGTTGTGACCTTTGTTTTTTCCCTCTCCAAATTATAAAAACAAACTGTACATTTATTAAGTGAAAGAGGTATAATTCTAGGGGTTTTTTTACCATTGGAGTGTTGTGACCTTTGTTTTTTCCCTCTACAAATTATACAAAAAAACTGTACGTTTATTAAATGATTTGTTTGTTCTTATTGTTTTGCTTATCATTGAAGTGTTTTGATCATGTTTTTTTTCTTTTCTTTATTTTTTTAAAACCAATGGATTCAAATTATCAAAACAAAAATTATTTTTTTTGTACTATTGAAGTGTTTTGACCTTGGTTGGATTTTTTTTTCTCCTATCCAGCAAAGAATAGGCATGCGGTACTTGCCGAATGCCAATTGCCGCTGAACAGGTCTTTTCTCAGATAATACAATCATTTTCCTCAAGCTACTGTTCACTTTTGGGAAAGCTTTAGTCAGAATATATCGAAAAAGCCGTGTCTGCTTTTTAGATTTTAATGTGAAGAAACTAATGGGATAACTCCGGAGAATCAGAATTTGTCTATACAAAAGAGTTGTTGTCCAAGGGAAGTACAGAGGTGTGATAACTACAGTCAATATTTTGTTTTGGTCAATTATAATATTGCGGTGTGTCATCTTCCCCAGTTAATCATTCCCCCCCCCTTCATGCACAATTTATAATGTAATTTCCAACTAACATATTGAAATCACCCCATGCATGTTACATGTTGTGTGTATTTAATAATTAAATATTCAGAATCTCAAATCTGACAAATGTGCCGCCCATTTGCCAAGTTCTCTGAAAATAATTTCCGCTGGGTCTAGCCCAAGGGGGAAGACGATTAAAAAGGGACATCGTCTGTTTTTGGTGGCAATCAAAATTATCACAGTAAGGGATTGAGGTGTTCCAGGTTGGTACGGGACCTGAGGGGCAAATCGGAGAAACATTTCAAGGCTTACGTGTCGTTGTTCATGCGTCACCTTTGTGAGCCAGGCGCTGATAACGCAGAGACGTTTGCCGACGGCGTTCCTAGAGAGGGCCTGTCGAGGCAGCACGTCCTTACAAGAATAGGAGTTATGTCTCTAATTAGGAAAAAGGTATTTGTCCATTATTTAAAACAGTCTTGTATATCAATATAAAACATACAATAATTTTTCAATATTTAAAGGTTCAAGAGTTTGAGCACATAAACGGCTTTTACTCCATGCCAGAAATTTTGAAGAAGCCGATGTTAGAAGGAATGAAGCCTCAGGGTAACAGCAGTAGTGTTGGTGAAGGCGCGAGCAGTAGTGGAACGCCTGCTACAAGCGCTGCCCCGAGCCCCGCTCCCACGCTTACAGAAAAGTCTCAGGTAGATACTTTTACAGATTCAAAAGTAAATAATTCCTATGAAAAGCTGATTGATGAGGTATTTTTAAATTTTAGGCAGAAGATATGCAGACGGATAGAGATGACAAACCAAAAGTAGAAGACTTGACTGTTAAGAACGAGGAAAAGAGTGAAAAAGAGGAAGATGGCGAGAAGGCCAAAGTTGTTGAAGAAGAAAAGGTAAGATTGCATTTTTAAACAATCTATTAACCTCTTTTAACACATTGGTTGCAGAGAGTACTTTATGATAAAAGTACAGATCAGATAAAGTTTATGATTCCATTATGTTATTATTTATTTTCTTTTATTTGATTTTCTAAACTTCTTTTTTAATTTCTAGCAAGCACCGTTGGAAATAAAATCAGAGACGATCAAGGAAGAACCGAATGAAAACAAGGAGCCGGCTCCGGCTTCTAAAGAAATGGAAGTAAGCGTCAAAGAAGATCAACCGATAGACCTAGTGTCTGACAAGGATAAGTCAGAAGTAACAGATCTTAGTGTCAAGAGTGAAAAGACGTCAGATAAAGCCGAAGAGAAAAAAGACAAAGAAGGAGAAGAGAAAGAAGATGGAAAGGAAGACAAAGAGGTAACGTTTCTATTATTATTAAATACATTCTGGGATTCTCCCTGGGGTACATTAACCACAGCTTAAAGCGGTCTGCTATTAACAGTCAAACTTCCCTAAATGACCACTTGTAATAATTTTATTTTACCCCATCATTATTCTATTTGGTTTACTAAGGAAAGTACTTCTAAAGGTAGGTGGCCATTCACGATCGCTCCTAGCAATCCAAACGGAGCGACGCTGTTCCAAAAACCACGTCAATGGCAAAACTGAATTGGCGTGTGCCCGGCTGTGCTGAATAGACCGGTCCAAACTCCATCGTGCCACTCTAAACATATATGGTGCGATGACGGCATGGCCCGTTCGTGAATGGGAAAACCTGGCATGAACGGTGGAATAATGGAGCACTGGCTTGGTCATGAATGGGAAAACCCACGTTTTTGTGGCGCAGTCTCTGTCTTTCTGTCACTGAACAAACATCTCTGTCCTACATTCTCAAAAAGTGAAAAACGTTTATTCTTTATTGGCAATGACATCCAATCGAGATTTTATTGTTTAGGTGATTGAATTGTATGAGAATTTACCATGTTTATGGAAAGTGGTGGACAATGATAACCACGATATAAATAAAAGAAAATCAATCCTCAGCCAGTTGGTTGACCTTTTCAAAACAAAGGATACAAATGCAACGAGAGATGCAGTATTGAAAACCCCTAAGCGCTGAGCAGAAATCGTAGTTGAGAACTTAAGTTCTTCATAGTTCATCCCTGTAGCGAGAAATCGTAATGTGACTGTCAACCTTTCATGTAGAGTGATAATTTTTCTCATGACTATCTTTTGTTTTCTAATCAAGGGGGTAACAAGCTGGAGTATATATAAATAAGACGTTAATCGTTACGTGTTTTTTTTTGTTGTTTTTTTTTTCGGCTACATATGCCGCTGCTCTAACCACTTGAGCTATTGTGACTTCGATAGTTCGATCCACTCGGACACCAACTCCCCATCTCAACTTACAACCTTTTGAATTTTCTCTCTTTTTGCCATTTTTTGGTCCAAAAAGGCCATGGATTCAGATCCCGCTTATGGCACTAGCTTTTTCATTTCAACCAAAATCTTACAAAAAATATTAATTAATTGAAAGAAGTAATTTGGTCAATAGAACACTAAATATAATTAATAAATAAGTCATTTCACCCATCCTTAAATAGTTCCTCCAATCAGCGGGTTCAAGGGTCAAATTGATATGGGTATTACGGCTTCTGTTCAGGAGCCACTTCTTACACCATTTCCTCTTCGGTGTTTTGCTTTTAATATATAAACAAACAGCGAAGGTAATTCACTAAATGACGTTCAGAGCGACTGGCTGTGGAGCGGTCGTGAATGCCCCCTCAAATTTCAGGCACTCCAAACGGAGCTATACGGCTTGGCGCAGTTCCATTTGGAGCGATCGTGAATGGCCACCTTAATAAACAGACACTGTTAATGCCATTTTTCAGAATTTGAACTCGTGGTCAGCAATGCTTACTTCAGGTACTTTCCGCCTTACACACTTTGTTGTCATTCGAACCACTCACATGTGCCATTGTGCAAATCATTGATGGTGGAAAATTCTTTTTTTCCTTTAGTCTTTTTTATTTCTCGCGATCGTTGGCCTGTTGACAGTGGCTCTCTGAGAAAATGTTTTTTGATCGATCTTGTATTCCCTTCACTCTTCTCGCCCCAGTCTTTCTCTATTTTACTAATTTTGAAGCTTCGTGGAGTCAGAGTTTTTTTTTTCTAAAGAATACAGTCTGCTCACTCGTTGACAAACACAAAATTTATAGATTCTTCAGAAACTACTCTGGCTTTTGTGAATGAGAGACTCTAACATGTTACATTCCAAACAACAATGTTTTATGATTATTATTATATATTCAATTTTTAAAGAGGAAATATTTTTCCTGTTTGTTTTCTAGAAAAGTGATGACAGTGATGACAAGGCCAAAGATGCTGATGAAGATAAATCTAAGAGAAAGTTTATGTTCAACATTGCCGACGGTGGTTTTACAGAACTTCATACTCTTTGGCAGAATGAAGAAAAGGCTGCAGTTCCTGGGAGAGAGTATGAGATTTGGCATAGGAGGTAAACCATTTTTTTATAATGTTTAAAGTATAATTTTAATTCATTTCTAAAAAATGTTTTCATTTTTAGGCACGATTATTGGCTGTTAGGTGGCATTGTCACACACGGTTATGGAAGATGGCAAGATATTCAGAATGACATTAGGTTTGCCATCATCAACGAGCCGTTCAAAATGGATGTCGGGAAAGGGAATTTCCTCGAGATCAAGAACAAGTTCCTTGCGAGGCGTTTCAAGCTGTTGGAACAAGCTCTTGTGATCGAGGAACAGTTGCGGAGAGCAGCCTACCTGAACCTCACGCAAGACCCGAACCATCCTGCGATGTCGCTGAACGCCAGGTTTGCTGAAGTCGAGTGTCTGGCCGAATCGCACCAGCACCTTTCTAAAGAGAGCCTTGCTGGCAACAAACCCGCAAATGCTGTATTGCACAAAGTAAGTAGTATAAAGCATTTTTTTTATTTTGAATTATTTAATTTTATTTTTATTTTAAGGTGCTGAATCAACTCGAAGAACTTTTATCCGATATGAAATCTGATGTTTCGAGATTACCAGCGACACTGGCTCGAATACCACCAGTTGCTCAACGCCTACAGATGTCCGAAAGGTCAATTTTGTCCAGGCTGGCGGCAACATCTTCCCCAGCCACACCAACAACATCACATCAAACTGGTACGTACTTTTTTTTTCGTGTCCAAACATTCTGAGGCTGTTTATATAAACCCTTCATTCCTTTGCAGGCATAATCAGCAGCCAGTTCCCTGCAGGCTTCAACTCGGGCCAGCTCAGCGGAAATTTTGCGAATGCAAGTTTCACCAACTTCAGGCCCCAATATTCTGTACCTGGGCAAACGGCAACACCCCAATCCTTCACAGGTATCAAAAATCAGTTTATTGAAATAAACTAATTACTTTGAGCCGTCAAAAGTACTTGACACACATAAATTTAATAAATTGATATGTTTGTAAGAAATAGACTTACGTTGATAACACTAGCAAAAAAGTCCTTTTGGCTAAATTATTAAACATACATTAACCTTTTTCGTGGTGATCAACCTATAGTTTGGTTGTTTCTGATTATTTTTGTCAGCCTATTCCCACAGATTTGGTTTTGTTTTCATAGTCTGGTCATTAAAGATCTCAAAATACAACTGTCACTTCAAAATCCACAAAGATAATTGTACAGAAATGATCGGAAATTGCCAAATTTAACTATTCCATTGTGATCATCTCAGATCATCCTGGACTGCCTATTCTCACCAAATACATAGTACAGCAGTATCGTATCGTTGACCTCTCTCCAACTTAAGGAATGACGCGCTGGAATATTCTTTGGCTTCATGCCAGTGTTGAATAAATTTTTACGCTAAAATGCTATTTAATTATTAAGCTTAAAGGCGTCCTTCTAATTTCTATATCATCTAACATTTGGTGATGATAAAACTGTCCTTTCCCACTCTTCTGGTCCTCTCATCTCTCACAGAAACCTTCAAAACCTTTCCTTGTCAGAAGAGTGGTACAAAACGTGAACATTTAACCTTTAAGCAGGGAACACAACGCAACCTGACCTGGCACCTTCTTATTTTCATAGGGTGTGCACATCTGTTCAACGTCAAGCGCACACCACACGCAAGTCACACAGCTTGCATCACGAATCAGTATCATAATTGCAACATTTCTTTTGCTCTTAACGCATTATTATGAGCAAAACCATTTAATAAATAGTAAAATTTTTATGAGCACAACCATGTGATAAATTGTTGGTTAAATTTGATGAGCAAACCATGTAATAAATTATTAGTTAAATTCATTCCATCAATAAATGATATTCCGTTTTGATACATTTTCTGCCTAGCCATCATAATTAAATAATTTTTATAAAATCGCATCAATTTTTCAACTCATTTAATTTCGTTTACATTAATACAAGCATTTTGTAATTAATATAACCGCAATAGTACGAATAGTTAAAAATAAAAATATGAGTGTCTGGTTTGTTTGTCTTTGACTGTACTCGACGCTACTTGACGAAAATCTGGACCGAATGACAAAATTACATAAACACAGTTTGAAATAATCTACAAAAAATATGAGTTCGGGTTCTCACCCTATTCGACGAAAACAGTGTAATTATATGAGCAAACCATGTAATAAATTATTAGTTAAATTTTATGGCCAAAACCGTGTAATAAATTGGTAATTAAATTCATTCCTTCAATAAATGATATTCCGGTGTTTTGATACATTTTCTGCCTAGCCATCATAATTAAATAATTTTTATAAAATCGCATGAATTTTTCATCTCATTTAATTTAGTTTACATTAAAACAAGCATTTGATAATTACTTTAACCACAATAATACGAATAGTTTGAAATAAAAATATGAGTGTCTGGTTCTTTTGTCCTTGACTGTACTTGACACTACTTGACGAAAATCTGGATGATGACAAAATTACAAAAACACAGTTTGAAATGGACTACAAAAAAATATGGGTGTCGGGTTCTCACCCTATTTGACAAAAACGGTGTAATTATATGAGCAAAACCATGAAATAAATTGTTAGTTAAATTTTATGAACAAAACCCTATAATAAATTGATAGTTAAATTTTATGAGCAAAACNTGCGTGATGTGATGATATAAGTATGTTATCTATAATTATTCCGAAATCGTGATATGCGGTCAGGTGTGATGTAGGTTTCAGAAAAACATTTTATCGTGCCAACGTTTCGATCTTTATTGAGATCATCTTCAGGGCTCAAAGTGTTTGTCTTCTGTGTAATTGTGCACTCTCAACACGACACGCAAGAATGGCAACGTTTCGATCTTTTATTGAGATCATCTTCAGGGCCTGGGATTTATAAACAATGTTTATATTTAACAAATACATTTAGGATGTGGAAAAGTGAATTTATACAATGCAAAATATATTTTATATTCAAACAAAGTATTTCTATTCACTCAAAGTGTTTGCCTTCTGGGTAATTGTGCCATCCTTGCGTGTCATGTCGTGTTGTTGTCGACGACACGCAAGGATGGCACAATTACCCAGAAGACAAACACTTTGAGTGAGTAGAAATACTTTGTTTGAATGTAAAATATATTTTGCATTGTATAAATTCACTTTTCCACATCCAAAATGTAATTGTGATATGTAAACAATGTTTGTAAATCCCAGGCCCTGAAGATGATCTCAATAAAAGATCGAAACTTTGGCACGATAAAGAAAATGTTTTTCTGAAACCTACATCACACCCGACCGCATCTCACGATGTCTAAATAACTATAAATTTTAGTTAAATTCATTCTATCAATAAATGGTACTCTGATGTTTTGATAAATTTTCTGCCAAACTATAGAAATTACATTTTTTAAATAAAAAACTAACGAATTTTTTATCTTGCTTAATTTGGTTTATATTAAGATAAGTATGATGTAATTAATTTAACGACAATAATACATATTGTTTGAAATAAATATGAGTTTCTGGTTTTTTTGTCTTTGACTGAACAACGCTACTCGACGAAAATCTGGACAATAGGGAACTTGGTTGCATTGCGTAGCGTACAGTAGAATAGGGTAGCGTTGTATGGCATCGGGCAAATGTGTACGGGGGTAATATAATCTTATGGAAAAAAATTTTTGTTGCATAATTTAACATTTGCCATAGGGTTGTATGGCTAATAATAATAATAATGGAGTCAGACTAGCAACAGTCTCAGCATGAGTATAGGCTCATCCTTATCCTTTTATTCTACCATTCAAATATGATAAATAAACTAATGCTACTTAACAATAATAAAAAACAAAAACATTTCTTGTTTGTACCTTTAAAATAATACACATATAATTCAAGAAATATGAGAAGTTTGAATTGCTGAGATGAAAATCTGTATAGATGGGATGTTCCGAGCATCAGCATTGCTGAGTAAATGCCGACATTGTATGCGATATAAACGCTCGCCTAGATTGAGGAGGATAAAAGGATAGGAGAATAAACGATCGTGCTTTTCTATACTATTCCTTGTAAACTGATGTAACGCAAGTTTGGAGGGTTGTTCCAAATGTCGCGTTTTGAGCTCTCATGTAAATAGCCTAAGTCAACTTTCATCCTCTCCTCTTTTAAAAATAATCCTACTAAAATACTCAAAAGAATTGCCCACACAACTTCTTGTAATGTAAAAAGTGAGCGGTTACATATTGATCATCATCAGTGGGTGATGACTCCATCATAACAAATAGTAGTCATATTTACATATATTCATAGATTATAATAATTGTTTCCCTTTTTTGTTTTCAGGAAATTGATCTGAGGGCATGCAAGGATGTTGTTAATTTGCAATACTCTTGGAGTACTGTAGGTTTTTGTAATAAAAAAAATTGAACAAACAAACAAAAAACATATTTAATTCATGTTCATAGCTGTTGATTTGGGTTTTAGATATGTGCTATAATAAGAAAGAAAAGGGTGCATAGCTTAATTCAGTGCTGTTTTAAATTTCCTATTAGGATTATTTTTTAAAGTATTAAGTTAAGAATATATGTGAATCAATGATAACACTCGTATGAATGGAAAACATCTATTATTTATTTTTCCTATTAAAAGTTTTAAAAAACAAATTATAGGTTAAGGGGATTCAAGAAAAAGAGGCTTTCTCCTTCTTTTTCCTTTCTAAAGGATACAATTTTTTTTTTCTTACAAATACAAGCCCATAGTTTTAGATAGAGATATATTTTGTACTATAAATGCTTTTCTTCTATTTCTTTGTTAATAAAAGAAAGTTGAGCTTTTACCACTGTTTAAAACAATAATTTCCAATATTATTTTCCATTCATTATTAATTTTTTTTTTAATAAACTTTTATACTGTATTTTATATTGTACAAATTTATTAAAAGTAAAGTTATTGTTTTCTTTTTCATTAAAAAAATTATTATAATTTCCTTAGTCATTTATTTATTTGTTTGTGAAATATAGTGTGCTGCAATGCACAGGAATCAGATGAACTTAAATTTTTGTAAAAGAACTTGAAATTTTCTTTATATTCCAGCATCTGCAATTTTAATGTAATAAAGGGTCACAGAGATTGTAATTAATTTTTAATTTTGTTTCATAATAAACGATTTTAAATTCTTCTTTTTTTTTTTTTTTTTAATTATACATGTAACATACCCCATACTAAACCTAAAGTCCCGGCCAGACAAATTGACAGGAGGCTGCATGGCAAGTAATTATACTATGCAATTTTGGACGATTCTGCCAGACTTGTGGTACGTTGGAATTGCTTTCAGTCTGATTTATCGCAACAACAAGCAACAAAATCAGAGGTTGATCACCCTACTGCCTTTCGTTTTTGAGACATAAATTTTGTTTGTTCACTGTTGTGGCCAAGTATTAGGGTGTCCAACTGGCCCATGGCTTTTTAACAGCATGAAAAAATTAGGAGACTTTTAACATCTAACTACCGTGGAGTTTCACGGAAGAGGAGTCATTTCACTTTACAATGCATTTGTTCATACTATAATCCATTTAAAAACCCTTGTGCTACGCTGTGAATCAAACCCAGAACCACTAGCATGGGAATATGCGTTGGACACCCAAATCACTCGGCCACCATGGTCCCCTTATTTAAGTAATTAAGTGGTTTTATCCTAATGTATCTCCCTGATGCATCCAACATCGTCTTCATTTTCTTGGAATTCTTCAACATTATAGCAAGAGAGGTTTCCTTCATCTGAACTCATACTTAATAATATTTTTTTAAGTGTTAAAATACACTATATGCTCTCTAGAAGAAAGCAAATAGATTAAACTTTTGGTACAACGGTATCTTGTTCAAAGTGACACACCACAGTTCACACACTGCTGGAACACCATAACCGTCATCTGGTTGGGCCTTAGCATCTGCCAACAATAGTTTATTCTTAAATCAAATGAAGGATGATATTAAAAAATAACACTACTCCCAGTTTTTTTCTATATTAAATCAACTATTATTTAAGAGGACAACACCGAGCTTCAGGAAGGGGCCAAAGATGGAACAGGGAGAAAGTTAAGGCGTAAAAGGGACAAAGCATACCCTAGCAGAACCCCTTGAACTAATCACAATTTTCATGCTTAGGTTCATGCAGTTCAACTCTGCTCAATAAGACAATATAAAAAAATATGAAAGTTGCACAGATTTACATACTCTCAGATAGGTACGTAGGCAACACATGCACGTGCTTTCAATGACGAACTTGCTGGAAGGCAGACCACCTAGCCAACAAGGGGCAGCCTTCTTACCTCATGGGACCAGAACCACTACTAGGTGCACCTGAGTGTGCGCTTAAGTTAGAATTGGAAAAATGGTTTGAGAAAAAAACTGGACAAAAGCACCAACCCTTTCACCCATGAGACCAGAATCACAAGGTTCATTTGAGTGTGTACTTAAGTTAGAATTGAAAAGAAAAAAAAAAATGACGAGAAAAAATTTAAAAAAGGGCAAAAGCATCAGGTATGAAGCAAGCTAAGAGATTTATAAATCTCTCAAAACAAGGTGAGGGAACTCCTCTCTCCCTCAGCAGACATGATTTGAGGAAAATTATAGGCCTACTACCACCTAAACAATATGGGCAAAGCAGAGACAGAAAGTGTTAGCAGAATCCAAAGACATTGGCACATATCTGTTGTGAATGTGAAGCAGTAGCCCAGTTATGATAAAGCCACAGCAAGACAATTCTCACACCAAAAGTGGTGCAGAAGAGGCACCGAGGAAATTGCTTGAACTTATAAGAAAACGTGACCTTCCCCAAATTTATAGGGGTTCCACAATAGATTTATAAAGGTCGCAGTGGAGAAAAATCCTTTTTCAAACAAAAAAAATTAGTTTGAAATAAATTTTTTCTAAAACACCTATGAATGGGCATGGAACTTGGACCTGTGGTTTGTGTAAACCACAAACGTACCTACACTCACCTGTCCAATTTTTCTGGGGGGGGGCTGTCACCAAACCAAACCAAAGGTCAAGAGGATTCAAACCCTTCAAAATAAAATACTACAAAATGTGCTAGGTGTAGAATGATTTGTAAGAAATGAACATATACATAGAGGAAGATGATTCTATTACACTTGTTTAAATCCCACAAACTTACTGTTATCAAGGTGCAACTTTCTATAATCAGGGGCATAAATTGAAACCTAGGGGCCTACAGACCAACATCCAGGGGTACATAGTAAATATGTACATAAAATGTCTATTATAGCCTCTTATTTATAATAATATTTATCATAATAATTATTATGTAGGTGAATGCATCGAATGGATAAAATTACTAAAATTTCGAGCGTTGAAACTTTCCTATTTTTGTAGTGAAAATTCTTAACATTTATTGTGCAATTGACAGGTTTTGCGATCTTTCCTGTTGGTTGGTGTGAAGAAGCTGAGGCGCGTCGTGGCCGGTGAGCAGGGTCTAGATAAAGACACCAACTTTGGTCAACACGTGATCCTTGGATGTTTCAAAACCGCTTTTATCACGCACGTGAGCCAAGCGTGATACTTTCTTTGTTTTATTATGTCACCGGTGTAATTTTTTAACGAAGCATGAACATGAAATAATCTTGGAGGAAACCAGCGGGCTTTTAATTTTATGTACAAACCCAAATATGAGGAAGCAATGTCGCGGGAAAATTTCTTTAACTATTTCAGCTTAAGATCAGGGGTCAGGGATAGATTTATTTGTTAAAAGCATTTGATCTTTTTGTTTACTTTGTCCCTATTTAAATAATTGCATCAATGTTCCAACGAATAAAGAAAGCCGCCACCATATAAACCCTAAATCCACGGAACATCAATTTTGTCAATTTTTAAGTCAACATTTTGTTCTAAGTTTTAAACCAAATAGACATATGAAAGTAAATATCGCAATAAAGACGTATACATCATCTATAGAAATGGTGAATGATGGAATAAGTGCTGTGTTCAATCATTTTTTAAAAAAGATAATTCCTACTCACAGTAAGTTGTTTTTCAACGATCCGGATTTCGAGCCCTTAGCTCATCGTCAGGTTGAAGGATTTCTACAACCTGACGATGAGCTAAGGGCTCGAAATCCAGATCGTTGGAAAACAAACTACTGTGAGTAGGAACTAACTTTTTTAAAAAAGGATTATACATCATAATTAACGTACTTATTATTAATAATATGAAAGCTATGGAATTGTTTTTGAACTTTTTTTGTATTGCGGTTTACTAATCTGCTCTGTTAATCCAGATTGTCGATAGATGCGTGGTGAAACAATTTAAATTGATAAACAATTGTCTTAGGATTGACAATTCATGTTTTGTACTCGTCTGTTCGAAAATTATTCTACAAGGAATCAAACAACGAGGAGAAAGTAACGACGAAAATTTTTCACATTGGAAAATTCCAGCTAATTTTAACTTCCATAGTTACAAGGTTAGTAAAAGTCGTATTTGTTTAGGGTAAGATCTGCTGATTGAAGACGAGATTGGTGGACGTCGCCCTGATTTTCTTCGAAACGCTTTCAACAGTTAAACTACAACAGTATCTGTGGTCAGATTTTTAAAACCGTGTAACGAAACTGAACATAGATTACAAGAACAACAACTTTGGTAAAAAAAAAAAAAAAAAAAAAAAAAAAACGGGATCAATCTGCTACATTAAATGAAGTAAATTAATAAAACATAACGTATGTGCATAAAGTAACTTATTTGGCAGAAACGGAAAAAAGAGTCCAATTTCAAATGGGTAAAATTTTACAAAATTGACAAACACCTTTAGCTGGTTAAATCGATAATATTAAGGAAAAAAATTAACCTCGTCTGTGACACCCGGCGAATAGTCGTACATTAAGCTATCCTGTATGACAAGAATTATTTTTCTTAATAAACATTAACCAAATATTCTTCAATAAATAAACGGAGTCTAAATAACAGCACTTAATAAGTATACAACTTTTTTTTTAATTTAAACTAAAGTTCAAATCTATACTTTTGTTTATCGTCCTAGTCTATAGATTTTCATCTGTCCAAGCTTTCCAGTGAAAATTGCTGTCTTAATTTGTTAATTGTACTCATGTAGCTGTTGTGCAATTTTTCGTTTGAAATTCTTGTTTGTATTTTCAGCGACCTACTGAAATTTGAAATTTAAATGTTAAAAATTATAGTTTGTACAGCCTTGATGGCGGTGATATAACCGTATAATTACCGGAAGCTCGGAAATTATGACTTTAGACTCATCCAAGCTGCGTCAACGTTTTAAAAACATGCAATTTTGAAAAAGAGAATCGATGCTGCAAATTCTTCAGGACTAAGGTTGAAAGTGAAGCTATTTATCCCATGGTTGAGATCTCTCCAGCAAATATCAATCTGTGATTACTGCCAGATTATTTGAAAGTTTTTTCATGTTACATGCTAAAATGTTCTTAATGAAACACTATAAGACATTTGACTACTGTTTTAGTTTGCGTCAATTCCTGTATGTACTCTTCTATTTAAATGTAATGCTTGAACAAATCGTTGTTAAGATATTATAATCAACGAGGAGAAAACTGCTTGCTTGTTGACGAACAGTTTTCACGTAGGAAATTATACATAATTTTATGGATGTAAAAAAGTTGAAAATAAAGGTCGTATTTATATTACGGTGACATCTGATGATTCAGAATGGAAGTCATCTTCCATAGGTAATATTCTT